ATAAAGATATTCTTCTACACCATTTCCTAAAAGTGCTGCTTTTTACACTTGAGTCTTTGGTCCATTGGTAATTTGTTAAGGTGTATGGAGGGATCCACTTTCATGGTTTTTCCCTGAAAGATACCTAATTGTCATAGTACCATTTATTGAAAAAAAATTATCCTTTCCCTAGTGATATATGGGAAGATCTCGTTTTAGGCTTTCTCTTCTATCCCTTTGGTCATTTTCACTACTCCTGAGACAACGTCACAGGGCCTTATTGCTATGACTTTACAAAACAAGTCTATGTCTGGGAGGACCAGTGCCCTCCACTTTACTACGGACATTCTTGACCTTTCACATGTCCATCTAAGTTCCACAGAAACCTGATGAGGATTTTGATGGGGCTACATTAAATCTACAGGTGAAACTGAGAAGATTGACTTAGTCATGATATTGAATCTACCTATCCATGTCCATGTGTGTATGTCTTTTAAATGCCTTTAGAAATATTGTCAATAAATAAATCCTCTTCATAAAGATCTCATCCCGCCCGGCCAGGCGTGGCTCAGCGGTTGAGCATTGACCTAGGATCCAGGCAATCAGGGTTCAATTCCCAGTGAGGGCACATGCCCGGGTTGAGGGCTCGATCCCCAGTCAGGGGCATGCAGGAGGCAACCAATCAATGACTCTCTCATCATTGATGTTTCTATCTCTCTCTCTCCCTCTCCTTTCCTTTCTCTCTGAAATCAATAAAGATATATTTTTAAAAAATAAAAATTAAAAAAATAAAGATCTCATCCATCTTTCGACTTGTTGATACTTTATATTTGTGTTACTATTGTGAGTGATACCATATATATCTTCTACTTATTACTTGCCACACTAATTCTAATGATTTGTCAGACAACTAAAAACATTACATTTTGTTTTTCCTTTCTACTCTCTATACCTTTTGTTTTTATTTCATGTCTTACTGGGCTAGTTAAGACAGCCAGAAGTATCAAACAGCCAGTTCACAGGGTGATGTGGTAAAGGGCCCAGCGTCATATGTCAAATAAGCATTATCCCTTAAAGAGAACAGACACCATCAACAAAATGGTATAACTGATTTTTGCTGGAATTAGATACGGGCTGTCTGACATTAAAGTACAAAATGCAGGCCAAGCTTAGAGACATGAGAAGGGAGCAAGTACTGGGGTGATGGGGAAGGTGGGAGAGCATTCCTACTTGCAAAGGAATAGACGGAAAAAGGTTATGATGCATTAGCCACAGCCGATGGATGTGGCTAATGGGTGCATGGGGACAGGAGAGGATATGTTCAAACAGTGGCTGAAAAAATGGGTGTTCGAAAGCTAGGCCTGTAAGAACTCTTACATGGCACTGACATGTTTGTGTGTTATCCTCTGGGCAATGGAAAGTCACTGCAGGCTTTTATGAAGGAGACGAGAACGAAGTTTGTGCCTTAGAAAGATCTTTCTGGCAGCTACGTGGAGACTGGAAATACACAGAGGATCAGGAGCTATGAGGAATGACGGTGAATGAGTTGTGTCAGTGACGGTGGGGATAAAGAGGAAGGGGTTAGCTCAAGATATATTTAGGAGGAAGGAAAATCAGTATAACTTCTTAACTGACTGGTATAGGTGTTAAAGATAACCAAAACTTGTAGCTTGGTAACTGAACGAGTGTGTTATCATTAAATAAAAGGAAAAGCTGGTTTGAGATGATTATAACTAACACCTGCTGAATACTTTTCTAAGCCCTTTTAAATACCAACTAATTTATTCTTCACAACAACCCAATGACCTCTCTAATTTATAGATGAGAAAATTGATGCACAGAAAGGTTAAGTAAATTCTCCAAGGTCACACAGCCAGTAAAAGGCAGAGCCAAAATTTAAACCCAGATACACTCTCAACTATGCTGTAGTATCTGGGACATGACCAATTAAATATCACTCATGTCTGAGGGACAACCAGGGAGTTGTGTTTAAGTGACATTTGGAAAACTGAAATAGGGCTCAAAAGGAAAAAATAAGGATTTTAGCAGTATGGATTTTAGAGTCATCAATGTAGCTGATTTCTTGAGGTCAAGATAGACATTTAGTGAAGAGAGAGTCAAAACATCAGGATCAGTAAGACATCCAAGAAGGACACTAGGAAGGAGGTTATTAAAACGAAAGTCCATCACCTAGGTCAGTCACCACAGCACAGAGGTGCGAGCTTTAAACAGTCTGAACTTTCTCCTTCTTGTGAAACCGGATCCATTCAATATTGCTAATGATGAATCTAGCACGCATAGCCCAAGGATCTCTGCACATATAACATCAGGGAGAAGAGAAGCCTAATAAAGTACGAAATGGAGAAAACAAGAAAACAAAACAAAAAAACCCGATGCTCTCAGCTCCTGGATGATTTGCATTTGTGTTTGAGCAAAGTGGTCCCTGCCTCCAGAGACCAGCAACAATGCAAGCTCATCTCTCAGGCAGCACCCTCATCTCATTCAACACCCCCTTACCCTCCAACCCCCACCGATCCAGCCTCTGCTCTGCCAGAGGGCAGGGGCCCTGCCAGGACACAGCAACACCAGAAACGCAGAAGAAACAGGAAGCCGTCCTGTTGCACAGAAGAACGATGGCTTCTGCGAAAATCACCTTTTGTTTTTAATGGGCATGTTACGTGACTCGTCAGCTATGGCGTACGCTGTGCCCTGAGCTCTAGCTCCAAATCGACCAAGTTCAGAGGGAAGAAAAAGAAGATAATAATAGCAAAAGATGGGCAGATATCTCAGGAAGCTTTAATCCTAAAAAGGGAAAACAGAGGCGGAGGGAAGTGGGGAGCGTTTCCTCCTCGAGCGCTCAGGTACCGAGGGGTTAGCGAGGGCAGAGGCTGGCACCAGCAGCGGCGGCCCTGGCTCCGGGGCCCGCGGCGTGCGCAGGGCCTGGTTGCCATGGTGCCATCCGGCCAGCTGGCAAGGCTGCATCCGCATTCTCTCTGCCACAACAGTTCCTGTCTTGTGGGCAGCGGCAGGAAAGAAGAAAAAATGTAATTTGTGTTCTAATGGCTGCTGGGTCACTGAATACTATAGGGTGTCCCAACAAAATGTATCCACACAACCTTGAATAATTAGAAAGGCAGCGTTTATTAAAATGCATTTCATTTTCAAAAATGAGCTATCAGCTGTTACAGCGTGTATACATTGTTTTGGGACACCCTGTATGTCTGGAAGGAACTAGGAGAAAATAGAAAATGTAAGAGGCAGAGAAAGCAGCCAAGATGAGATTAAACCCCTTGGGAATGTATTAAATCCAACCTGGACTTTCTATGGATGAACTGCCCTCATAAATAAACACTCCTCCCCAAAGCTTTTGGGGGGCCAGGTATACCTATAATCCAAGAATCCTGACAGAGAATGTCAGCTTTTTTTCAAGGCTATTTCCCACAGTGATTTCTGATCACAGGGCTCTGGGTTCACTACTAGATAAAAAGCATGAATTTGTGGCCAAAAAACCAAAACGATATATTGGTCAGCACACTACAGTGGAAGCCAGGACACTGCCTTGGCTCTGACACTAATCAGCCATATGACATTAGCACTTCCAAGTCTCAATTTCTTCATCTGTGAAATGAGGAGGTTTTACTAGATGAAGTTTAAGGGTCCTTCCACTCTGCCAGCCTATGCTGAGGGCACTCAGGGGTAAGAGAGCCCTTCCAGGTGTCTCTCAAAGGATGTTAGGCTGCTCATTTACCAGGACTCTGACTGTGCCCCAGGGACACCCAACTGTGAAAGTGGACACAACTCAGTGGAAGAGGTAAGTGAACACATACACAGGAAGCTACATCCATACATTTCACGAAACCAGTGATAGTGGGCAGAGGCCATCTCTCATGCATCTTCACTCACTCAACATCCAGCACGGTCTAGGCACTTGGCGTAACAAATAATTATCAAATGCACTTGCAGACAAGTCTTTAAAATATGATATTATGAAATCTTTTCAACTATGAGTTGAACTGTGTTGCCCCAAAATTCATATGTTGAAGTCTCCTAACTCCTAGTGCTTCAGAATGTGACCCTGCTTGAAGACAGGACCTTTAGAGAGATTATCAAGTGGGTGGACCGTAATCCAATATGACTGGTGTTCTTATAAGAATAAGAAATCTGGACACAGACGTGCATAAATGGAAGATGACAAGAAAAGACACAGGGAGAAGATAGCCATCAACAAACCACGGAGAGAGGCCTGGAACAGATCCTTCCTCACAGGCCTCAGAAGGACCCAACCCTGCCAACACCTTGATCTCAGACTACGAGCCTCCAGAACTGTGAGACAATAAATGTCTGTTGTTTAAGCCACCCAGGACACAGCCCTAGCACACAGGCAGTACAAATCCAAAAGTGGAGAGGGTTGTACAATGAAATGTGCCACCGTACTCATCGCCCAGGTCTTTCATTGCTACATACTAATTACCCCCACAATAAACGGACTTTCCCTTACATAACCATGATGCTATTACCAAACCTAACAATATCAATGATTTGGAGGCAAATTAAGTCATAGGAAAAATGCACCTTATAAAATACACCTTATACTAAAACACATACTTAACATAAAGCTTTCCTCCATTAAAGTTCTTAACAATATTAAAAACACATTCCCAATAAGTGTGGATAAAATCTTCAGAGGATGCGCAAGACTCTTAGAACAATTCCTTAATCAGCTCTCTTAATCAACATATTATCTAAGAATAAAAACTTGTTATTTTATTAAAGTACAGAAAAGAAAGGAAAAATGCAGTCAGCACAGTATTCATATCCACTCTCTGATAATAAAAGTGCATTTTTTAAACTAAACCCAAGAAATGTAGCAGACATCTTGAAGTCTCTGATTTAAAAAAACAAGTAATATGTGCAGTGGTATTTTATGTTAAATTGCACACACTTTAGGTACCTGAAAATTGACATGGCAAAACTCAAAGGCTCTCCAAAAAGAAAAAGAAAAGATAAATGTAAAACCATACCTTGACAAAGTATAAATCCTTGGTTATTTTTCTAAGACTTTAGAGACTGGAGTTCCCAACACTTCAACAATTAGACAACTTCCAATCACATGTCCTCTTCAAAGGCTGACTTTTTGTCTAATACAAAGAGAAATGTTAAAGTCAGAAGCGCCTACTTACACAACTTTTCAAAAGAGTCTTTTGAAAAGCAGTTTGCTCCATCAACTTTCAAAATCAGGCATCTCTGTAAAAACCCACAATCCAGCTAATTAGCCTCAGCTGTTCGTCATATGGTCTGCAGACCGGTCAAGTGATTTCACCCTTTCAGGCTCACCCAAGCCTGATTGACTGGCTTCTCAGACAGAAGGCGGCTTCTAGTGTTAGAAGACTGGTACCGTCCTTCAACTCTTTCTCTTCCCCAATCAAAAAAGTTGAACATGTTTTCTTGAGAAAACATCTTTAAAAGTATCTTGTTCGCAGGCCCCTCCAAGGTTATACTAATATTGTTTGTTTGCAAATACAATGCCTGATCCAAACAAGTAAGGAAGGAGAGAAATGGAAGTGGTGGAAGGAATGGGGCGAGATGATTAATGGAACTCTCGCTCCTGGCCTCCAGACCCGTGAGTAAAACTGTCTGCTGGGGAGGTGCACCCAGATACCTTCTGGCTTCTCATATTCAACATGTCATGACCTCAACTTATGTCCTTTGCTCTTCTCCCAGGACCCTGCTTCAGACCCACTCCTCTCCCTGTGTTGAGTAACATAATCCCACACCCGGCAGAAATCTTGTGGGCCTCATTGAGTCCTCCCCTTCCCCACCCATTTCCAATTGGCCACCACATTGTAGGGACCTTCCTTCTCTCGCCTTTATTCCAAGCTTTTATTTCTCATCTGAATGGGTACATTAACCACTTATTTGGTTTTCTGGCCCTCAAGCTGGCCCCACCATTGATCCATCTATCACATTGCACCCAAAGTGATATTTCCAAAAGGCGAATGAGGGTCCAGCGCTGTCCTCTGTCAAACCTGCCAATGGCTCCCCACAACCCCGACAATGGAATCCCTACTCCTCAGGCTTCTGCCTTCAGCGTCACCTCCCACTCCCTGCCTCCTGCCTCCTGCCTTCTGCCTCCAGCCACCAGAACTATTTGTAATTCTCTAAACTAGTGGTTTTCAAAATGTGAATCAGCATCATCAATATCACCTGGGAAACTGTTTAAAATGCGCATCCTTGGGCCCACCTCAGGCCCATCGAATCAGGAATTCTAAGGACCGGTGCCGCAGTCTGTGTTTTCAGGAGCAATGCTGAGTTAGATGCCCTTCTCTGCACTTAACTCTTTCCTCCCACTGGCCAACCTTGTGTGATACTTATCCAATTTATTTCTTGTTGGCTGATGAATATCTTGAACATAGGAATTGTGTCTTATTTGCTGTACTCATTCCACAATCATTTATTGAACACTCACCTGTCACTGAGATAGATGCTGGACATAAAACTAATGAGTACATCCTTTGCCACTAGAGGAAACCACCCTCTGATTTTAGCAGCTTAAAGTGTCACTGAAGACTCAACCTATCCAATTTACAAAGTCCCATCAGCAAACAAAAGAACTAAAAAAGTCGGAACGTAAAAAGGTCTGCCATCTCTCATGATAACACAGAATTTTTGCTTCACATCTGATGCTGACTCAGACATATAGACTTACGTGTATAAAGGGGGAAAGGGTGCATTTTCATGAAAACTTATGTACTCCTCTTTATTATCTCACAGCAACCTCTCAACTTTGGAGAATAATTTAGTACAGGAATGTACCAAGATCTTAAAATCCCAGATTAAAATTCAGCTTAATCTAATTACAGAAGTGGAATAGTTTCATATTATCACTTTGAGGCCTTCAGCGTACATAGGACTCTCCTAGGATTGTGTTAAAATGCTAATTATGATTCAATAGGACTGGGTGGGGCCTAGGAATCTGCATTTCTAACAAGCACCCAGGTTGATGCTCAGGTAATACTGATGATCCTAGTCCTAGAACTGCACTTTGAGTAGCAAGTAAAATTTAGACAACCCCATTTTTCATAGAACTATAGTCTTCCCAGTAGAGCAATGAAAACTTTTCTGACCCCTCTGCATGGAAAGCTTTCAAAAATGTCTTTCAGACTTCAGGATAAAGATGGCATACAAAACACACACATTTAGTTCTGTTACCTTCCCAAACCTCACTAATATAACAATAAAGGGAATTTTATTTCCTTTAGACATAAATTCACAAAGACAACATGAGTGAAAATAATAGCAATAAAATATTGGAAGCCAGAAAGTAGATGGACAAGAGGTAACTGATTAGCAGACCAGGAAAGGTGACTGTTTATCTGCCAGTAGGGAAGGCCAAGAAGCAACTCATCACAGAATCTCCAGAAAGGTTCAGGCCTTTGGAGCCCCGAACACCTCTGGCGGGGTGGATAAAGTTACTGCTAAAAAGGGTGGAAATCTGATTAGATCCCAGCCTATGACTCCTCCAGCTCTGACAGAAGTAGTAGGTTTATTCTTTGGAGAGAGTAAAACTCTGAGGGTCGAACTCTCGAAGTCTCTGGGAGGTATACTGACCTCAGTGGAGACAAGGGAGGCAGTGAGAAGTTACATAGTAAATACTGAGATGCCCCACCAACACCATGACTTCCAGAATGCAGGCATTCTCCACGGACCTGTGTCCAAATGATCTTCTCTGGACAGTCTGCCCAACCCAGCAAGGAAGGCCTACGGATAAAAAGGAGCCAACCACATATTGATCTAATTAAAACTGTGATGTACTGTGGGATGGAGGAGGAGATGGAAATGGTATACAAGTGTGGTAGGGTAGGTAGAGAACCAAGCTAAAATTCTCTTCTTACATAGTAAAGAGTCAATAGGTAATGCCTAAAACTGAAAACAAGAATAAAAAATAGGTCATAGAAATATAAGTATGTCATTTAGAAACAGAGGATGTAACTACCAGCAAGAGTCAACTAAGAATTGAAAGCAGATGACTCTGGGGGAAAGGAAATGAGCTGGGGGAGGGGACTCTGATGGCTTTTTGCAACAGGCCTTGTAGATCTATGTCCATGTATAACCTTGATAAAATTTTCAAAATTAATTAATACAAAATAAAATGGAACTCCCATACTTGAATATTTTTTTTTCCAGCCGATTCAGACATTACAATAAACATTACAAACTTGCTGTGCTCAGGACCCAGGACCCCCACTGATGTGGGATGTTGAGCACCGGGCTCTAAGACAGGCTGTCTGGTTTTGAATCCCAGCTTTGCCACTCGCTGGCTGTGTGACCTTCAGCAAGTTACTTAACCTGTCTGTGCCTCAGTTTCCTCATCTGTGGAATAGGTAATAACAGGATTATTTTGTAATAATTTAATTATTGAATTAAATTTAATAATTTAATACCTATAAAGTACTTAACACAGTGTTTGGCACATAGTAAATGTTCAATAATCACTCTTCTTATTAAGTATGTTTGCCCCTGTAATAAATGCCTCCAGGCCTCCGTATTGATTTTGTCTTTTATTAGTTTCTATTTCATTTCCCTGCCCACGCCTTTCTAGAGTCACCCCTCCCCCCTTCTAATGTGCAGTTTCTAATTGACAAGGCACCTGGAAACCAAATGACTGAGCTTATTAGAACTGTGTATAAAATGAAGGAAAATGGGCACCAAGAAATGTTCTGAATGGCTCTCTGTGAAGCCCATCAGCAAGTTTCAATATAGGAACCATCTGTCTGACTGCTCAGAACCCATTGGGCTTACTTCCTAACTATCAACTGTGAGTCAGTAAGCTGGGTGACAACCAGGGTAACCAACCATCCCGGTCTACCCAGGACAATCTGACGGAGTTTTAGCCCTGGAAGTTCTGAATCCCTGGAAACGCCAGGCCCAGCGCTGGGCAAATTACCCAATCCTTTTGAGCCTGTTTCATCATCTATAAAATGTAGAATAATATCTACTTTGAAAGTCTGTTGAGGATTAAATGAGAGGATTTTGTATAATTCCTAACACATAGTAAACTCTCAATAAATGGTGGCTCTAGTTATTGTACTCAGTTATTATCAACGCTAATATAGGGGCAAACAAATGATTCTTAGAAACCTAACCCATGCCTTGGTTATTTTCTTACTGGCAAGCTGAAATGTTTGCTCTTGTGAATTTCCTTCCACCCTTGTCCTACACAATTTGTTTCAGGAACCAAGACATATTAAAGGAATTTAATATCTCAACATTGCTGCCTTCTCCTCTGGGCAAAGTCCTGGTAGGTTTCCACCATCTCTTGATACACATATCTTTTTCACACAATACTCCTTATTACTCCTAAGTCCTAGGAGTATTTATGTCAGTAGCTGCTTCTAAATTTTTAGACAGAAATCAGCAAGCTCCCTCACAAAGGACATCAGACGTCCTACCTGAAATTTTCTTTTAAATTTGCATCATACTTTTTTCCTTCATAATGGCACCAAATCACATTCACCTAATGGACTGACAACTCATTCACTAAATGTGTCAATTCTATCCCTGAAAAATAAAGGCTCTTATCATTTCACAGATGAAACACCATTTCTGACCTCAAAAGCTCAAGTAACTCAGTATTCGGTAGATATTCATTACAGCCTGGAGAAAACTGCTCACATCCCTGCACCCCACCAACACAAGGGCGAAGTTGCTATAAGAAAAGTTGCACAATTAGGGGCCGATAACGGAGAGGATCGTAAGTTACTCAAAGCCAACACATGGCCTGGGAACTCTCCGACAGGCAGCAAAAACAGAATGAGCAGCCGGGCAGGGGAGAGATTCTCCATATGGGCTCCCAAGCTCCCTCCACCCATGCTCATATTTCTTCTGCCAACATTCCCACCCAGTGCCCCAGGCCCGGGAACAAGGCCTGGAGAACCACAGAGCCTCAGAGAAGCCTCGAGGGCATCTGGTCCCACCACTGGGGCAAGAATGAATGGATCCAGGACAGAATTTCTCCAAGTCTGGTCTGATGCCTCTGACAACTGGAACACTTAGGGGAATGGGGGGGTCACCTGATGAAAATCCAAAGTCCTGAGTTCTACCCAGGCCTCTGTATTAGGATCTTTGAGAGGGACATTTG